ACTGGTGGCTGAAGAGAGAAAAACCGACCGTGAGCCAATTTTTACTTCCAGCAAAGTATATCAGAACCAGCAAGAGTATAACTTTCGACCTCTTTGCTGGATTCCCCCCCGCCCCCCGCCCCAACTGAGCTAGCGGCTCCACCTGTTATCGCGCAGAAGAGGCAGTGAGGTTGGAATCTGGGTCTTGGACTTGGGAAAGTTCCCGAAGGAGCGGGAATTCGTTAATAGCACTCTCCCAACTTCAAGTAGTGATCCTAAAACGGGGAGAAGGTCCAGCTCTGTTTCCTCGAGCAAAGGCAGGATGTATCCCAGGCACATTTACTCATGACTCCCTTTACTCTTTAAGAAAGTAAAAGGTTGGCCTGATTCAAAATCCATACTGGTGGGGCCAGCCAAAGATTTCCAAAACTGTTGCAAACCTTCAAATTTCTAAGTTCTTTTCACTGGACACGAGAGGTTAAAAATTAAATATTAAAAGTGAGAGAGAAATTGATGTGCAAAGTATTGCTCGATGCTGTACACATTCATATTATAGACATACTGTAGTCCACCAAAAATCAGCCCTTGATTTCGGACTGGGGTAAAATTATTCCCTCACCCCGTCTGGCTCCAGATCGTAAGTACTAAAATACAGTAACCACTGCTTCTGTCATGCAACCTCTTTGAGGTGGTTGAATACCTTTCTTTGGTGCTTCACTCACTTCCCCATCCTTGGCCAGCAACCTTGCATTTTATGAATGGAACTGAGCTAGATACTCTCAGGAGTCTGCATCGGGTGGAGAGGCTGGAGTTAGTGACCGCAAGAGAAGTTATTAGAAGGAGGGGAGGGGGCACCGGCGGCAAGATGAGGTCCCCCTAGGTCCATGTGAGAGATTGATCTGTGCCCCTGGAGGTGGTGGTGGGTTTCTGCTCAGTTTTATTTTTAATCTATATCTTCAGTTTTAAATCTTCAGAAGGGAACCTTGTTGATGATGACAGTGATGGTGATGATTTGCCTTTTTTGCCTGCTTCTTGTAAGACAATTTTCCTAATTTGGTGTTCTCCAGATATTTTGGAGTTCAGATTTCATAATCTCTAACCAACTTTGCTGATTATGCAAGTTGAAGTCCTATACGCCTGAAGCTGATCAGGAAAGTTGCGGCAATGTTCCTGCAAAATGTCCCATCAGTCCGTGTGGCTTCAGTTAGGACTTTCTGTGGGGGAAATTTCTGCCCTTTGATTGCTTGACTGATTCTGCGAGGCCTGCTGTACTCCCTGGTCTTAAACTCAGATACACTCCAAAGAGAGGAGGAAGCGGTACAAAAGCTAAGACTGCAATCCTAAACGCACTTATGGGGTAGGGAGCCAGCTCCATGGAATATAGCTATGAATCAATGTGCCACACGTGTTTCAGTCCTGAGTTAGTCCCATAAATCAATGGGACTTAATTCTTTGCAGTACAGTTAGGGCTGCAGTTTTAACCATGGGAAGATTTGCCTATTTCTTCTCTCAAACGCAGCAGGGTGATTCTAAAGCTCCTTGAAAAATAAAGAATTGAGTTACATTCTATTATGGGTTACTTGGAAGCTTGCTAGTTTGCAGAGAGGCTTTGGAAACAAAATTAACCCTTCACTAAACTAAGTTGGCATGGTACAATGCCTATGGTGTTGTGCAAACCAAGCCCCTGTGTTTAGTTTAGGATTGAGTGTGTGGTGCGTGAACCAGGGAAATTGCTTTAAAGGAGCATGAGGGGAGAACACACACACACACTCATATATGGCCATATCCATACAACTGGTCTGAGTTTCCTCTCTTGGAGAAGTGACTTTTTGGATCCCTGCAGTTTTCTGAGACACAGTTGCAGAACCCTGTGAAAGGAACAGGTTTGAACAGTTCATTGCATATTCTGCTCCTCAAAAGCCCCTCATGAGTCTTGAAAGAGGCACTCAGGTTGCTCCTGATTTTCTTGCATCAGACTTTAGCCTTAGCCCGGCTGGTCCGAAGGGGATCCAGGGTTGCCTTGTATTCACTATCTCCACATTTGGGAAACTGGATCTTTAAGGGCTTTACTGATTCCAAGTAATTAGCCTTCACTTATATATCTGCACAGTGAAGAGGGGGGTGGGGGTGTGTGTCCTATTGGCAGTAACTTAAAACTCTGCAAACTCTTAAATGGCCTTCCTTAATATGTTTGTCATATTGGTTACCAAGTCACTGCAGAGGACTAAGAACATCGCTGAAGAAGGGCTTCTCTTAACAGCTTCTGTGCTTCCCATGATTCTCATCTACCCCTTCTTCGCTCACTGGGCACCCCCCCCCCCGCCCCGCCTGATATGCTCCTAAAGCTTGTTGGAGGAGAAGATGAATCCCAATCTGGAATTCACTGTGTCACTAGCTGGATTTGCATCTTGCTTTGTCTTGTCTACAGTTAATTAAAGAAGCCAGAGTGGTTGAGTTAGCCATCGCTTTTCCCCCACCTGGGGGTGGGAGACCATGCTCACAGTACTGAGCGAGCCCAGTCAGAAGACAAATCTCCCCACTTTTTATGAAAATAAATCGAATCACTCCTCAGAAATTAAGCCTGGCCACAGTAAAGCTGAGGAAACAGCATAGAATCTCCAAGGTACCTTTTAGATCCTTTCAGACCTGCTTTTGGAATCCAGTTGCTTTTTAAGGGCATCAGTCCTGGTTGAGATTGCTTTTTTAGTTCTTTGGGATATTTGCTACAGTGAACATATTATTCTCTCCCCCTCAAAAGGGGGCGCGCTTCTGTCTCAGTAAGTAGAGTCTGGGCAGCTTTTTGAGGCAGTTTCTTGTCAGTGGCCCTTATTGCATCAGTCAGATGAAGGGCTAGCTCAGTGTTTCTCAACCTTGGCAACTTTAAGATGCATGGACTTCAACTCCTAGAATTCTCCACCCAGCAGTATGGCTGGGGAATTCTGGGAGTTGAAGCTCATGCATCTTTGAATTGCCAAGGTTGAGAAACAGTGGGCTAGCTACTGGCTTTGCAATAGAGTTCTATAAATTCATGGAATACATGCCTAATTAAATGGATCCTCCACTTTGAGAAGTAGTGTAGCTTTATTGGTTACTTGAAACAGTGGGAGAGGACAATTGCTTTCCACCTCTGCTTATCGGTTTCCAGAAAATATCTGGGTGGTTTGATAATGGGTGGACACCTGGCAGAAATAGGTATTATATGTAGGAAGTCTGGTAGAGGGTTAGAACAAAATCCACACAGCCTCCTTGCTTCGGTGCCACTGGGATCCAGGACAGTCAGGTTCAAGTCCCTACTTGACCATGGAGCTCACCGGATGACTTTGGGGCAGTCACCCTCTCTCACTGAGCATAAAATGAGATCTGTTGTTCTTGTAAGCTGACTTGAGCTCCTTTGAGGAAAAGCAGGTTTTGAACTGGAAGACACGCAGAGCTGTGCTGCTATCTCCAAGTCTTCCAAAAATGCATTGGAACTATCTCCCCCAACTCGGTGTTGTCCATATGAGAGGTATGGAAGATGCTGGGATGAGGAAGGTTATTTTAGAAGGTAGGGTGCTGTGTTTGTTGGTTGGCTGGATGAAATAGAACATCTAAAGTAATTAACTTGAAGTTGGACCAAATCAGTTTTGTACAGATCACAAAGAGCTCAACTGGGTTGCCACAGAAGCTTTCCTCCGCTCTCTGTAGGAACGGGGTGAACTTAAACTTAACTCTTTTAGAAAGAAGGAAAGTTGTGGGTTGAAGGGAAAGGTCTACTGTGAAGTTCACAATTTCAGGACAGGTCATCCCAAGGGGCTTGCCACCACAGACCTGCATAGACCACTGTCCTAGGTGGAATTTACTACCACTTGAATTTCCTGCTGACAAATGAATCAACAGGCCCCCGATTCAATAGCCATCTGGCCTGGGATTGATGAGGTTGAAATCCAGCACCTGCAGCGCCCCAGATGGGGAAGGTGGTGACCCACAGGCCGAAACCAAAAGTCTGATGACTGAAAAGACTATGGAATACCCGGATCTTGCAGACGACCCAAAACCAGCATCATTAGAGTTGTATTACTTTGCAGGCTCCATGTACAGAGCTTAATCCATACTCTTCTCTCTGTTGCCCCTGTCCCACGATTTTGTCCACAGAGTTTAGGATAAAAAAAAGACAAAGCAAAAGATTCATGATGGCAGCCATAGGCTTATCCCCGTCTTCTTACCTGTTCATTCCCACTCCCAAAATGGCTTTCTTTAATACAATATCTTTGTTCTAGAAGTTAAACTTGTTGCCTCCTATAGCCCACCACCTTCGTTTGCTGATAGTCTAGGCATCTGCTCAGGTTAGGCAGGTCTATGAGAGCACACCTGCAGCTCAGACAGCCAGTGTCTTGTGACTCTACTTTGGCGATCTGCTTGGGGTGTGGGATGGCGGAGAGAGGCAGAGAGAGTAGTTTTTGAAGTATCTAGTCGCCCACTGAAAAGGGCTTTGCTTTGAAATCCACCCCCTTTCCGGGTTTGTTACTATATAAACTGCAGGCGTAGCCCTATGGGCTTTCATAAATCCATCTCCTTGCCTTCAGCCTTCATTCTCCTTGCCTTCAGCCTCCCCGCCAAGAACTGGACCCTATCTGGTGGGGAAGGGGATGGGGAAGCCTGGCTCGTCCTAGCTTGGAGCCTACAGATGGGAAGGGTCCTTTCTAGACTGTCCCACTGACACATTCTCGGTAAAGATGCGCTCCAGCCCGCGCCTGTCTGGTCATTTCTTCCTGCAGCAGAGGGATCCCTGA